CAAGGCACAGCTCAGGGGCCGCGCTGGCTGGACTGGTCAGACCTGCTCCTTCCCAGGCCATCTCTTTCCTACCCTGAACAGGGCAGGTCTGCAGGACACTGCTGTCATGTTTGAGGGAGCCGTTGGCCATCCACTTAAACAGTCAGTGTTTTTCCCTCCAGTAGCTTCCTTGAGATTAAATGGATGACTTGTATGATTGTTTTTCTTTTCTTTTTTTGATGCTAGGTCTCACTCTGTTGTCATGGTTGGAGTGCAGTGGTGTGATCTTGGCTCCCTGCACCCTTGGCCTCTTGGGTTCAAGTGATCCTCCTGCCTCAGCCCGCAAAGCACTGGGATGGCTTAGCACCACTGTGCCTGGCTGATGTGTGAATTTTAAGTGCATGATTCAGTGGCTTCTAGTTTATTCAGAGTTGTGCATGTCTCAGCACAGTCGATTTTAAAACATTTATATCATCCTAAAGTGAAACACTGCAGCTACCAGTCTGCCTGCTGTATCCATGGCTATGCCTGCTCTGGACATCTGATGTAAACAGAGGTATGACTCTGACCTCTGAGCCAGGCTTTGTTACTTAGACAGCAGTTTTGTAGCGGGTCTCAGGACTCGATTCCTCATTAGGGCTGAATTGGCTGTAGCCCTTCAGCTCATGTCATCCTGAAGCTGGTGGGGGATCACTGGGCCTCTGGCTGCTGCACCAGGGGAGGGGGACTCCTGGCCTCATGGCAGACTAAGCCGGGGCTCTAGGCATTGGGGTGCCCAGCAGGCATTGGGCTCCCACTGCGGTGGGTGGAGCTGTCTCCACTCACCCTGCCTTTGCGGCTGCTTCTCCCCAGACCATGACCTGGTGGCCAGGGCCCAGCATGTGACTTTCGATGGCCGGGTGTGGGACCTCAGCATCCAGTGCAGCAGCATCCTGCTGGCCCAACACTTTGCTCACAACGCATTCTCCGTGTTGCTCAGTCGGACAGGCTCGGGGCTCATGGCCCTGACTGCAGAGCTCAACCACATGACCCTCATCTTCTACCCCAGCCTGCAGGTAAGGAGGAGAGGCCTGAGCTTCCCCTGGAGACCTGTGCCTGTGGCAGGCTGCCTGGAGTTACAGCCTTTTCAAGCTTTTCCCCTGTCTGTGGGTCAGCCCTCCTGCCCACCCCTCTGGCCCACAGGGCTACAGTCTATACAACTCCTCCCTGCCGGGGGATAGCTGTCCAGACCTACAGTTGCATCCTTCCATGACAAGGAGGGACATCTCTAGGATTGAGCTGGCCAGTGAAGACGAGGTAGCCATCTCCTGTGACGTGCCCACCAGCCTCTGCATCCTGACTCTGGGCCTCTGGCACCATGGTGAGTCTGGGCCCTGGCGGGGTTGGCCACACCACCAAGAGTCTCTTTGGGATGTACCATTCTCAGCTTCCAGTGCAACAGGTCCCCAGGCTGTAGGCGGCAGCTGTGGTTGAGATGACGGCACTGAGGTCCAAGGCTTTCTGCCGCCATCCCTGGGATACATGGCTCCAGGGTGGAGTTGGTCCTTCTGTGTTCCTCTGCCAAGGTACACAAAGGGTGGGCCTGGATTCCGGCCACTCGAGCTGAGGATGTGGAGAGGGGTCGGGGGGACACATGCTGTCCTTAGTCCCTGTGCTTTCTCTCCCTCCTCTGATCAGGGTTTGGAGCCAGAGCCCTGGGCTCCAGGAGTCTGGAGAGGAGGTGGCAGGGTTCTACCAATCCTTGGTGTGCCTCAGGCTTGTGTCTCATACAGGTCCCCTGGGGGAGGATCACGGGCTCTCAGGACCTACTCAGCTTCCCTCCTCCCCACAGGCATACCCGCTGGTCTTCTGGGCACCAGTGACAATGAAGCAGGCAATGATCTGATGTTGCTGGATGGCTCTGTGGTCCACAGCCTGAAGAAGCTCAGCCTGGCCTGGCAGGTGAGGAGGTGCACCTGCCCTTCCTCCCTCTGGCTGAGGCTCTTGAGGGCTGCTCACTGCAGAGTCCCAGCAGAGGCGGGTGGCTTGCTGGCTCTGCAGGGGTCTTTGCAGGCCCAGGGTTGGGGGCAGCCTCCTGCTGAGGCCGATGTATGTGGGTGATCCAGGTGGTCCAGCAGGAGGCCTGAGTCTTATGTCTGTCCCGCCAGGTGGATGGTGACTGCAGGGCCACCGAGAAGACTCAGCCAACCTGCCCAGGGCAGAGCCCTACCCTGCCCAGCCTTCTTCCAGGACCCCCGCTCCAGATTGGGGAACTTCTGGGTGGTGAGTATAAGCCTGGCCCCTAGGGCACAGAAAGCCCTTTCCCCAGTCTACCCTAGGGAGTGGCATGGAGGGGGGGCCTAGGCTAGAGACAGTGACTGGGTGGCCCTGATTTCAGGTAGACTCTGCCCCATTCCTCGGCCTGTGTGTGCAGGACCCGGGAGCTCCAGCCTGCCTGCACTATGGTGGCCGCCTTTTATCCACCTGTGTGCCTGCAACTTTGGACCCCTGGCCCCTCCTCCACAGTGCGATAAGCTGCTCCAGCTGGCTGGCACTCTGCCCCTTGGCTGGCATCTGCCTTCCAGCTGGAGGGAAAATGCGTCTCCCTCTCTTGCCAGGGAGAACAAATAATTGTCATTCAAGGAGCTAAGAGTCAAAACAAAACATTTACAACCTGATACAGCTTGGATGTGCGTCCCCTCCAAATCTCACGTTTGTTAGAGGGGGTACATCCCTCATGGATGGCTTAGCACCCTCCGTTTGGTGAAGTGTGAGTTCTTGCTCTATTAGTTCACATGAGAGCAGTTTGTTTATAAAGAGCCTGGCACCTCCTCTCTCTCTTTGCACCCCCCTCCTGTTTCTGCTGTGATTGTAAGCTTCCCGGAGCCTCACCAGAAGCCAAGCAGATGCTGGAGCTGTGCTTGTACAGCCTGTAGAAATGTGAGTTAATTATATCTCTTATTTATGAACTGTCCAGGCTGGAATGTAGTGACATAATTTTGCCTCATTTCAAAGTCCACCTCCCAGGTTCAAGCAATACTCCTGCCTCAGCCTCCCAAAAATACAGTCTGGTATTTTTGTAGAGATGGTGTTTTGCCATGTTGCCAGGCTGGTCATGAATTCCTGATCTCTGGTGATCCTCCTGCCTTGACCTCCCAAAGTGCTAGGATGACAGACATGAGCCACCGTGCCCAACCTCATTAGGGTTTTGAATGTCCACTACCATTTAGGGAAAATGCTCAGCCCCTGTGTTACTTCTGCTCTCATACCGCAAAAATCGTCATCATCACAGAAGATGACTTCTGTGAGCAAATGTGTGGGGGTTTGTCCCACTACCAGGGTGGACCTCTAATTCAGTTCTAACAACAGCTACCTTGAGATTCTTTAGCCAGTGCTGCATATGATTGCTCCAGCCAAAGCCCCACTAAAAGGGCCTAGAGGTCAGTATCAACAAGAGGAGTGGACTTCCAAGAGCTACAGATGCCAGAATTAGTGGCTACCATTCATAGACATTTAAAACTTAACGAATTCAACGGCAGAAGAGAAAATTGATCAATTGGAAAATATGGCAAAGGGCAGATGAAATGAGAGGATTCAAGATGTCTCAAAGACATTCTAGGCTGGGTGTGGTGGCTCATCCCTGTAATCCCAGCACTTGGGAGGCCAAGATGAGTGGGTCACCTAAGGTCAGGAGTTCAAGACCAGCCTGGCCAACATGGTGAAACCCCGTCTCTACTAAAAACACAGAAATTAGCCAGGTGTGGACATGTGCACCTGTAATCCAAGCTATTTGGGAGGCTGAGGCAAGAGAAACGCTTGAACCCAGGAAGTGGAGTTGCAATGAGCCAAGATCTTGCCACTGCACTCCAGTCTGGTGACAGAATGAGTGTCTGTCTCAAAAAAAAAAAAAAAATCCAGAATGAAAACAGAGACAGGACCCAGGACCCTTTAGAATCAGGAGTCACAATCCCCAATACGATAAATCCATCCATACCTAGACCCATCCAAACACAATTGCAGAAAAGACAAAGAACAGGTCCTAAAAGCTACTGAGGAGGGTGGAAAGAAGGAAGAACATGTTGACAATTGCTTTCCCACCAGCAGCAATGGAAGACAGTGGAGTAAGAGAAAGTAAGCATGAGATTAGGGTTGATCCCCAGCTCAACTATTACTGAATGAAATAACCTCTCAGCACTGATCTGTCTAGAGATCTCTTTACCACAAATGGACACTCAAGGAACACATCCACATGTTCATTTATGTACTGTCTATGTCTGTTTTCCTGCTACAGGGGCAGAGTATCTGCAAGGGAGAACACATTTTTGCTCTCTGAAAGACTCAATTAGGAAGAGGGAAAGATAAGCTACAGATTGGGAGAAACATTTACAAACCATGAGACCAAGGACTCATCTCCAGAGACTCATCTCTAGAATACATAAAGAACTCAAAGCTCAAAGGTAGGCCAGGTGCAGTGGCTCATGCTTGTATTCCTAGCACTTTGGGAGGCTGAGGTGAGATGGCTTGAACCTGGGAGTGCAAGGCTGCAGTGAGCTCTGACTACACTCCTGGCTGCATGACAGAGTGAGAGCTTGTCTCACAGAACAATACTTTCAAATTAACAAATGGGAAACAAATGCATGAACACTGTTTTCACTCCCAACCATAGAGAAGCAAGGTCGTGCTACACACCTGAGCTCCGGTGAGTTCCGGCACGGGTTGCTGAGTTCCAGGGACTCCACAGCATAAAGCATTATTTGAACATCCAAATGGCTAGGTTGTGATTTTGGCATCCACTTATGAGTGCACTGTAAAAAGCACTCTTCTAGTACCAAAAAGGTGGTGGCTGCTGAGAATAAAGCGACGCTTAGAGGCAGGAATCAAGGTCACAGTCTACCAACCAGATCCACTCAGGAAACAGCCTTGGACTCATGAAGTGCCAAGACATGAGGTGTTGTGGCTCCACAGGAAGCTTGGAGAATCTGGGAATTGAACAGAAGCACTCATTGATCTGACCATGTAAATACAAAACTGTCAGCTACTACAGCCATCAACAGAACATCTGGGAGGACAAGCAACTCAGATTTATAGCCACAGGGTAACAATGGACTATTATCTGCAGTTAAGGTCCTCTCCCTTCCTCTTATTGTTTGTTTGTTTGTTTTTTTGTTTGTTTATTTATTTATTTTGAGACGGAGTCTTGCTATGTCATCCAGACTGGACTGCAGTGGCACAATCTCGGCTCACTGTAACTTCTGCCTCCCAGGTTCCAGCAATTCTCCTGCCTCAGCCTCCTGAGTAGCTGGGATTACAGTCACATGCCACCACACCCAGCTAATTTTTTTGTGTTTTTAGTGGAGACACTGTTGCACCGTGTTGGCCAGGATGGTCTCAAACATCAGACCTCATGACCCGCCTGCCTTGACCTCCCAAAGTGCTGGGATTACAGGTGTGAGCCATCATGTCCGGCCGGGTTTATTATTATTTTTTTTTAATCAAGGGCTAAAATCTTCTCCTCTCTTGGACACCAGTGAAGTATTTAAGGAAAACAGTCACCAATTACAGTTAAATTTTGAAGGACAAATTAAAAGGTGGTTATAAGTTACAACATAAAGGCATCTTATGAACTCTCATAAGAAAAAGAGGAAGAAATTAAGACACCTTTATTATCTTTTTGAGGCAGGGTCTTGCTCTGTCCTCCAGGCTGGAGTACAGTGGTGCAGCCTCCCAAGTAGTTGGGGTTACAGGCGTCCGCCACCACATTTTTATATTTTTAGTAGAGACGGGGTTTTACCAGGTTGGCAAGGCTGGTCTCAAACTCCTGACCTCATGTGATCCCCTTACCTCGGAGCCAACCAGAGAAATTAAGACATTCTCAGATGAACAAAAGCTCAGAAAGTTCATTACACTGGGACCTACCCTGCAAGAAATGCCAAAGGGAGTCCTTCAAGTCAAAACAAAAGGTTGCTAGGTGGACATTTGAAGCCACATATAAGGACCTGTATTATTGGAACTTTGATTCATATCTCTGATTTTAATTATTTTATTGGATTTAAAAGAGAGGTGTAACCATAAGTCTATGTTAAATATATAATTTATATATATAAAAAAAAATTAGTCATGGTGGTGAACACCTATAGTCTCAGCTATGGAGGGTCGCTTGAGTGCAGGGGCTCGAGGTTACAATGAGCTATGAGAGTGCCACTGCACTCCAGCCTGGGTGACAGAGTGAGATCCTCTCTCTAGAATATAGTTATACTATGTAACAACAACATAGGATGGCATAGAGCTGTCAAGGAGTAGAGTATTCGCATGTGATTGAACTTACTAGTTTAAAATCAACTGCTATAACTTCAGGATGTTTTATGTAATCCTCATGGTAATTACAAAGAAAGTATCTACAGAATGTACACAAAAGGAAATGAGAAGGGATTCTAAGTGTGTCACACCAAATAATTAAACACACAGGCAGGCAGAAGGAAGGAAATGAGAGAGAACACAAGCCATGAGCCATGCAGAAAAACAATCCACAGAGTGGTACCGGGAGGCCCCGTAAATAGTGTGCTGGAGTCCTCCCAGAGCAACTGCTCACTGAGTCCTTGGCTGTGGGCCTCATGGCACAGTCACCCACCAGGGTAGTGAGTTTTGTCCGATGATAGTCTTTAAAAATGCAAATGAATTCTACAATCAAAAGACTGTAAGAGACTTACACATTGGTTGAAAGTGAAAGGATGAAAAAAGATATTCCATGCAAATGGTAACCAAAAAAAAGGAGGAGGAGGAAATAGATTAATATCAGACTAAATAGACTTGCGGTCAAAAGCTGTTTTAAGAGATAATAACAGTCAATTCACCAAAAAGATGCAACAGTTATAAATGTACATGAAACACCCCTCAGAGCTCCTAAATATATGAAGCAAACACTGACAGAATGAAAGGAGAAACAGATAGTTCTATGATAACAGTAGGCAACTTCAACATGTCACTTTTTTTTTTTTTTTTTTTTTGAGACAGAATCTGACTCTGTTACTCAGGCTGGAGTGCAGTGGCGTGATACAGGTCACTGCAACCTCCTGGATTCAAGTGATTTCTGTGCCTCAGCCTCAGAGTAGCTGGGGTTACAGGTGTATGCCACCATGCCCAGACATTTTTAGTAGAGACAGGGTTTCACCATGTTGGCCAGGCTGGTCTCGAACTCCTGACTTCAAGTGATCCACCTGCCTTGGCCTTTCAAAGTGCTGGGATTACAGCCAGGAGCCACTGTGCCTGACCCAATAACTCACTTTCAATAATGGATATAACACTCAGACAGAGGATCAAGAAGGAAACAGAGGGCTTGAACAATACTATAGATGAATTGGACCTACCAGACATACACAGATGAGTTCCCCCAACAGCAGAATACACATTCTTCAAAGTACATGTGGAATGTTCCCTGGGAAAGATCATATATTAGGCCTCAAGGCAAGATTTAATACGTTTTAAAGGACTGAAATCATAATAGCAGAAGGAAAACTGGAATATTCACAAATCTATGGGAACTAAACAACATACTAGAAAACTATGGATCAAAGAAAAATAATAAGGAAAATTAGTATTTTGAGGCAAAACATATCAAATCTTATGAGATGCAACAAAAGCAGTGTTGTGAGGGAAATTTATAGCTGTACATGCTTACATTAAAGAAAGCTGGCCAGGGGCGGTGGCTCACACCTGTAATCCCAGCACTTTGGAAGGCTGAGGCAGGCAGACAACTTCATGTCAGGATTTCAAGACCAGCACGGCTAACATGGCGAAACCCCGTCTCTACTAAAAACATAAAAATTAGCCAGGCATGGTGGCAAGCACCTGTAATCCCAGCTACTTGGGAGGCTGAGACAGCAGAGTCACTTTAACCTATGAGGAGGAGGTTGCAGTGGACAGAGATTGTACCACTGCACTCCAGCCTAGGTGAGACAGCTAGGCTCCATTTCCCCTAATGCCCCCCAGCCCCCAAAACACACACACAAAAAGCAGCAGCAGGCAGGCATAGTGACACTGCTTTATAATCCCAGCTACCTGGAAGGTTGAGGCCAGGAGATTGCTTGAGCCCAGGAGTTTGAGACTAACTCAGCAAGTGGCAAGAACCTCTGTCAAATAAAAGAAAAAGGAAAAGCTCTCAAACCAAATCCTAACTTTGTATCTTAAATTATTAGCAAAAGGAGAACAGCCTAAACCCAAAGCTCGGAGAAGGAAGGAAATAATAAAGGTTAGAACAGAAATAAATGAAATAGAAGATGGAAAAACTAACCTATAACTACCAAGGAAATTGAATCAGTGACCAAAAACTTGACAAGAAATAAAAGTACAAGAACACATGGATTCATGGGTGACTTGCACCAAATATTTACAGAACCAATACCAATCCTGCTCATCTTCCAAATTCTTGAGGAAATAATACCTCCAAACTCATTCTGTGAGGCCAGCATTACTCTTACAAAGGCAGACATAGCAGCAGAAAACACACCACTATCCCTGATCAATACAGCTGCAAAAGTGCTCAAGAAAACACTAATAAGGAGAATTCAACAGTAATCGATGAATTATGCAACATGATCAAGTGAGAGTTCTTCCTGGAATGGAAAGGTGGTTACCATAAAAACATTAATGTAAGATACCACATTAACAGAATGAAGGAAAAAAAACACATGACAATTTGTTTCAATTAGTACAGAAAAAGCATTTAATTAAGTTTAATATCCTTTCATGATTAAAAACATACTGACTAGAAATCGAAACAAGCTCAACATAATAAAGGTCATATGAACAACCTCCAGCTAATATCATTCTCAATGATGAGATACTAAGTTTTCCAAGATGAGGAATAAAACAATGATGCCTGGTTTCACAATACTGGAAATCCTAGCCAGAGCTATTAAGAAAGAAAGGAAATAGAAAAGGCATCCAAATTGGAAAGGAAGAAGTAAAATTTTCTCTGTTATCAAATGACATGATTTTCTTTGTAGAAAATCCTGAAGACTGCCCAAAATAAACTGTTAGAACTAATAATTTGTCCAAGTTTCAGGATTATGAAATCAACATACAGAAGTCAGTTGCATTTCTACACACTAAGAGCCAACAATCCAAGAAGGAAATTAAGAAAACAGTTCCTGCTGGGTTGGTTGTGGATGCCTATAGTCCCAGCTACTTGGGAAGCTGAGGCAGGAGAATCACTTGAGCCTGGGAGGTCAACGCTGTCAGTTTTCATAACGATTATGCCTGTGAATAGCCACTGTACTCCAGCCTGTGCACACAGTGAAACACCATCTTAAAAAAAAATTCAGTTTACAATAGCATCAAAAAGAATAAAATAGGAATAAACTTAACCAGAAGGCAAAGA